TGAACTAACTATTGAGTGAATACTCTAAGTCACATGCTACATGGGTTAAATAGTCTTAGGGTAAGGGATTTGGTCCTGCTGTGCAGCTCTTGTCTGAGTCCAACCGTTGTGGGATTAAACCTTTTAGTCTAAGATTGTTTAAGTTGTGCGGTATGTGATTGTATTCATGCAATAGTTAACTGGCACCAATGGAGGGTCGTGTGGCAGTTGGTGGATGGGTGGGTAGTGAGAGGCCGGGAGGCCAGCTATGAGATATTTAGCGTTCCTCTAGGAGTGAGGATTTATCGCTCGCTATATATATGTATATTGTAGGGTGTTGTGGTGATACTTGAGACAAATATGGGTAGGTGTGGAAGGTAGTATGGGCCCGTACTACTGAAAGCACAAGACCCATACGCGTATCAAGGAAGTCACAACCCCTAGGATTGGGTTGGGAGTTGGTTCCCTGTCATTATATGGGTTATCAGAGATCTTTCTGGTATTTTACCAGAATGGTGGTTACGAGACGTCTTGAGACCGGATCCAGATTAGGATCGGGAGTGGGCAGCCAAGATAGGCCAGCATTTTCAGGGGATCGTGTTAGTGAGATCATCCGGGAGAAGGTAATCAAGATTGTCCGGGGGCAGTTTCCGGAGATGTCGGGTCTATTAAGACCGCCATGGTTGAGTATTTCGACAAGCGCTATGTAGCCATTACCGAGACGGTTGTCGCGGCAGCTTTAGTAGCTGTAACGACGGCAAGGGGAGGAGTTGGTCGAGCTTCCCAGTTATGAGACATATTCTGATGAGCAGAGGGCTGCAGTTATTTGGGATCAGGAAGATGATCTGTACTCGTTATATTTCCGCGGGTGGAGCGGGAAAGGCTAGTACGTGAGTTTCTAGATTTGAGACTCGGGGGTTTGCTCGAGGCCGAAATATGGGTCGCGGGAACTCCGGAAAGGAGTGATGATTATGTTCAGCTGGGGTTTTGCAGCTGGAAGTGGAATGGTTAATTGATGGATTGGATCGTCGTTTTGTAGGGCAAGGATTGTGCCCTCTCAGTTTTCCGAGCTCGAAGGAGTGAGCAGGCTTGTGACCCCAGGATCAGGTTGTATTCCAGCTCGGGGTCAGTGGGTTGCAGGAATAGGCAACATTATTTCAGCGCCGGTGAGCGCAGGTGGGTCGACGTGACATAATTATTTGTGAGGTCTGGTTTGCCTTGGATCTCTTGTATCGGACGGTAAGGATTGATTGTGCGACCTATTACACTTTTGGGATTGTAGATTATGTCTTGGGAGTAGTTGTGGCCCGGTTTAGGGAATAGGTTGCTTCAATTGCTGCAGTTCAACTGTGGATGTTTAAGCTGGTAAGTGAGTCAGGGTGCGAACCCTGAAGAGAATGATTCTAGAGCCCGAGAGCGGGAAACTTATTTGGAGCATCTTGGGAAGAAGGGTATTATGTGGGAGGTCTGCGGACAGGGTTCCACAGGATGGTTATTCAGCTTTGTCAGGATTCAGTGGTTTTAGCAACCGTTAGTGGTTGACGGACTAAAGCGCCAAGGGAAGTAACTCGTCGACGAGGTATTAGTCGGAGCATCTACCTTTTGGTCTCCATGACTTGAACGTGGGGTCATCTAAGAATTAGGGACTGTCGGTTTCACTGGGATTCAGGAAGTGTTCATCTAGTTGGTGAGGTCTGATTGTCATCAGATCGATCGTTGGAAGTAAGAAGGATTGGGAATTCTCAAATTTCCATGTATTGTCAAGACTTAGTTGAATCTAAGTGGAGGAGAATCGAACCGGAATGCAGAAGCAGTATCGGTTTTGGAAATGGGATAAGTTTCGCATCGTTGTCAGGAAGGAAGACAACCCAAGTGGCTGCTTGGTTTGAGTGTTGTGTGAGTTGGAAGTTCGGTAAAACTCCCCAGCATGTGAATCGCGTCTTCTCGACGCTTGATAGCAGAACTTGGGGAAAAACAGGATGGGATTCTAGCCATGAATTAAGTTCAGTTGTGTGTTAGGTCGACCGCGTGTTTGACCGGTATGGAAGTTTTGTAAGACTGTGGGGGTAGCCGTAGCATTCACTAGCGATAAGTTAGTATGGCAAGTGTTGTAAGACTGTGGGGGTAGCCGTAGCATTCACTAGCAGCAGATAGTGTGAGAAGTGATGCAAGTCTGTGGGAGTAGCCGCATCATTCGCTAGGTTGGTAGATAGTATGAGCGGTTTGCTAGGACGCGGAGGGAACAATAGTATCCACCAGTTCGGGTGTAGCAGTGAGGATATGGAAATCCACGGACTGGTTATGGGTTTCCCCAGAGGGATTAGACCTGGTTAAGCCAGCGATAAGACTGTAGGAATGCCACTACAGTTAAGAGATCAAGGAAGCAAGGAATTGCTTAAGGTCGTTTATGATATAAGTCTATCGTTGGTCAGGTAGCAATTACTTTTAGCCTTGGATTTTGGTGACATCAGGATTTGATGCATGGATCCGATCGGTTGGATCAGTAGGTTGTTAGAGTCGCAGAGGCATGATATCTAGTGCCAACTAGTTCCAGGGAAGGATTTCGTTCGGAAGTCGTGTGAGGCAACTATGTGGGAAACCTTTAGCTCCGCGACCGGGCCGGAACCCGGTATTTCAGGTGTTACTCGGTTGTGACGAATCAGAGGATTTTGGATGAGATGCAAGGATAGGTCCTTGGATTTCAAGTTATGGGTTAGACCCGAGTTATGTATAAAGTGGTATTCCGATCTAGGGTATTCCTGATGGGTTTTGAGCCATAAGAACTTTCCTATGTGCACATGCAAACCCTAATGCTTGGATCTAGGTTTCTCTAATTGTACATGCATTCATCCAAGACTTTCAAACCCTAGATCTATTGAGTATAATTCGAAATTAATGTGACAAATCAGATCTAGATGATTACCTCTTGTTGCTTGCTTGAATCTTCTTGTTCTTGGAGCTTAGAGTCACAATTATCACTCCTCTAATGGCTTACAAACACCAACTAGCAAAAGGATGATTTGGAGAGAGGAGAGAGGTATAGAAATTGGCCCTAGGGTTCCAAGGAATCAAGTGTGTTTGATTTCTACAACCCAAGGGATCTATTTATACTATGAGCTTCTAGGGTTTCAGCCAAAACCCTAATGGACAACTTAATCACCAAGCAGCCCATGGAACCTTCTGGAGTAAGGCCTTGGACGAAATCTTGATGGTATCCTTCACACAATTTCGTCCACCCCTTATCCATGATGGTTTCCTAGCCCAAAATACAACTATCACACATTTGAGAGTTTAAGCCCCTTTATTCAATTAATCTCTTTTAGTCACCAAATTAATTCCTAATTAATCTATGACTAATATTAATTAAATAATATAATTATTCCTTTAATATATTATTCTCATAATATATTAATATAATAATATCTTCTCTTTCTTCATAAATCACCCTGTCAAGTTGCTATGGTGAAGGCAACCCAAAAGGACCATGCACAACCGGGTCAAGTACTTACCAAATATAGTTACGGGCTTAGACACTAATCCAACAGTTTAGGCCAGTTTTGGATTTGGATCTTAGAATAAGGCCCAAATAGGGAGTTGGGCCCAATTTGGAAGATTGGGCCAATAATGGGCCTTGTATATGTGGGCTTGTGGATTATGGATTTGGTATTAGGCCTTGGCCCAAATTAGAGGAAAGGAAAAATGGACTATGAATAGTTGTAGGACTCTTGGTCAAGATTGATATTTCCCATTTATTGACTTAATATTCATTATTTGGATAGCTCGGGATTTTTGGTGAGACAGCGATTCGGGAGTTCGATTCTTCAGTTCAAATCGACATTGCGAGGTGAGTTATCCTCACTGTACTCAAGGGTCTAAGGCACCAAGGCCGGACCTTTGATTTGTTATTTGGAATTGATATTGTTATAATATGTTAGATCGGTATCCTGGGAGATGGGATGGTTATATGTTGGTATGCTCTGTTAGATTGGTATCCTGGTAGATAGGATGGTTATATGTTAGTATGCTCTGTTAGATCGGTATCCTGGTAGATAGGATGGTTATATGTTGGTATGCTCTGTTAGATCGGTATCCTGGTAGATAGGATGGTTATATATTGGTATGATATGTTAGATCGGTATCCTGGTAGATAGGATGATTATATGTTGGTATGCTCTGTTAGATCGGTATCCTGGTAAATAGGATGTGGTTATGCTTAGAGACATGTAGTTGGTCTGACTGTTTGTATGCTGGTAGGAGATTACCTGTTACATGTACACATGATTGATTGGTAGTTGAGGGTATTCCATCCCGAGGATGATAGGACCCTAGTATGTTGTCTCTATAGTCTATTATATGATTATCTGATATAGGTGCACATGTTTGATTGGTTATGGGCAATTCCACCCGATGGTTGTGGGCCGTGAGTATTCCACCCGAGGATGAAATGACTCATAGTATGTGGACATTCCAACCCGATGGTTGTGGGTCGGGGGTATTCCATCCCAATGGATGATTGGACCCATAGTATCTGTGATATATGTATTGTGTGTGGGCATTCCAACCCGATGGTTGTGGGCCGAGAGTATTCCATCCCGATGATGATTGTACTCGTAGTAGGTGGGTATTCCAACCTGATGGTTGTGGGCCTGGGGTATTCCAACCCGATGGTTGAGGGGCATGGGGTATTCCATCCCGACGGATGATTGGACCCATAGTATGTTGTTTGTTATTGTATGTGTATTGTTGTGTGTATGGGTATTTTGGGGGTAACTCACTAAGCTTTTGGGCTTACAGTTCCAGTTTATTGTTTCAGGTTTAGCGGAGGACTGCGGGAAGGCGAAGGCATGACCGTACACTTCCTCGATTTATGATTAGGATTTCTGGGAACTCTGATGTTTAAACTATTCTGAAAACAAATTGTAATAACTGAATGGTTTTATATAATTTAAAAAGTTTTAAATTGGCTCGAATTTTGTGGATGTTACACTATAACCTTAGACAATACATCTTCAAATGATTCTATGGCTGATGCTTTGAAATTGGATTTGGATTTGTTGTGTGATGGTGATTATTTCCATGTTCGTTGTTGTGCTCGCATTCTCAACTTGATAGTACAAGATGGTTTAAAGGAATTAGATGAAGCTGTCAAAAAAGTGAGAGAATGTGTTAAGTATTGTAAGGGTTCTCAAAACAGGAAAAATGCGTTTTTACGTGTCGTTCAACATGTTGGTCTTAACTCCTCTAGAGGGTTAAGACAAGATGTCTCTACTCGTTGGAATTCTACATTTCTCATGCTAGATAATGCATTGTTTTACAAAAAAGCACTTCTTCAAATGGAAAAGACCGATGCTAATTTTGTTCATTGTCCTAGTTCTCAAGAGTGGTCCAAGATTGAAAAAATCTGTAAGTTTTTGCAAATTTTTCATGAAGTGACTTTAGCCTTCTCGGGTTCCAAGTATCCAACAGCCAATCGTTATTTTCCTAATGTTCTCACGATAATATTGCTTTTGAAAAAGAAGGTGGTAAGTAAAGATGACTTTATAAAGAGCATGACAACTAGGATGAACTTGAAATTTGACAAATATTGGTCCGAGTTTAGTACTATCATGGTTATTGCTGTTATTTTTTATCCTCGTTACAAGTTTCAAGTTATTGATTGGGCTTTCAAAAAGGTATATGGGGAAACTTCCGATCTCAAGTTGGATTTGTTTAAAAAAAAGTTATTTTCCTTGTTTGATGAGTATGTATCCATTAATACCAAGTCCAAGGCAAGTGAAAGCTCATATCCCTCCCCTAAAGTTGATGAAAACTTGTCCGACACGTATATGACGGTAATATCTTGATGCTTCCGAATCTGTTTTTAGTATAGGAGGAAGAGTTCTTGATGCTTATTGGAGCTCTTTAAAGGCAGAAACCGCTAAAGTACTTGTTTGTATTAGAGATTGGGCTTTTAAAGAATGTAAGAAACTAAAAAAATCATATATATATATATATATATATATATATATATATATATATTCTGTTTTCCAGTTTTTCTGTTTTTCTGTAGAAAATGATAAAAAAACTGCACATTAAAAAAAACTGCTTTGTTACTGTTTTTTATAAAAACTACAACATTATTATTTCTTTTTTCATTTGTATGCTAATATCGATTTTTGTATTTGTAGCATCATTGCAACCAGAAATTGAAGCGTTATGCAAAAAGGTTACTACATTGAAGGTTGATGTTGATGAAGATGCAAAGGAAAGTGACACATCTGGTGCTTAAACACAACAATCAGAATTATGTTGAGGAAGAACGATGAAGAAGAAATAGCTTGAAAAAGACTTGATTTGTTTTGAACTTTTAGTCTTTGTTGGTATAAACTTGTTTTTTTTGTTGGATTGTAATATGTTTAATGTTTTGGTCATTTGGATGATTACTTGAAGTCTTGAACTTTCAATTTCTTTTGTTTTTGGTATTTCATGACATTTGGATGATACTTGAACATGTTAACTTTGTATTTGGTTTACCATTTTATGTCAAATTCACGGGTCGTACCGGGTTACACGGGTTGGCGGGTTTCACATTTTTTATAGGTTAAGCGGGTTACATGTGTCGTGTCAGGTTGACACGGTTATAACCGAGTCGTGTCCGTGTCAGGTTTTCCAACCTGTTTATTAAACGTGTCGTGTCAACTACCCTCAACCCGTTTAATGTCTCAACCCGGCACGACACGACCCGTTTGCCAGGTCTACTATGGGTCCAATTATCCTTGGGATGGTATACCCTCGGCCCTCAACCATCGGGTTGGAATGAACAGTCTGTTGACTTACACACAAAGCAGTAAAGCCTCAACCACCAATCACACATATACATATATACCAGATAATCACATAACAGTCTACAGACAGTCAAACCGAGCTACAAATCACTAAACATAGCAACATCCTATCTACCAGGATACCGATCTAACAGATCATAAAAATATAGCAACATGCATAATGGAATATCAATTCACTGGGCCGGCCTTGATGCCTTCGATCCGCAAGTACAGTGATGAAAAATCACCTCACAAGTAGTGTTGAATCAAGAAGATCAAACCCCAACTCTCAGCTCCGATCTCAACTGCCTACAACCACCATGTGACTAACTTCATTAAAATCCCGAATTTCCAAAATACCCTTAAAGTCAAACTTGGTCAACCATGGTCAAAGTCAACAGTCAAGGTCAACAGTCCATGTTGACCCAACTCATCGAGTGCATCTAGCAACTCGTCGAGTTCCTACAGTGTTCAGAGAATCGTGAAAAGCTCGAGGAAACTCGTCGAGTTCTTCAGCATCCAGAAAGCGGGAAAAACCTAATCAACTCGTCGAGTTTTTCCTTGCCTTAATGCATTCAGACACTCCCAAGCGAAACCAAAGCCCCAAACTATAGATCTGGTCCCCTAGGACAAAGCTACCACGTAAAGTTGATAACTTTACGTCCATGCATTGCATCAAAGGGGCTAAAACACTCAAATAAGGCTTATTGGTGGTTGTCGAGGCCAACAAAATTAATAACCCTAAATATTACACACTAAAATAGTGTATAGTGGTAAAGGGATCGAATCCACGGAGATTGGTTCAATTTAAAACTCTATGTAAA